ACCGTGTACGGGCCCCTTAAAAAAATATGCAAATTTTTTGGCGGGGAAGCGATCTCGGGAACCATACGAGCTAAGGAGCTGAAACTTTGTAGAGATATTCCCTGTGCATGTACTGGCTAGGGATTTCAATTTCAGCCCCTAGGTATGGGTGGTACCCACGTAAGAGCGTGTGAAATTTTTAGGGGGAAATTGCTAACTCGAGTACCAGGAAAGCTAGAAGGCTGGAATTTTGCGGGAATATTCTCAGTCTAAGTACAACTTAAATATCCCAGATCCAGCCCTCAGGTATGCGTGGTACTCACGTAAGGGCGTATGAAAGTTTTGGGGGAAAGCTGCTAACTCGGGTACTAGAAAAGCTGGAAGGCTAAAATTTTCAGAGAATGTTCCCAGCCCAAATACGACTTAAAGTTATCAAACTCAGCCCCCAGTCATCCGTGATTCTCAGGTATGGCCTCGTGAAATTTTTTGGCGGGAACATGGCTAACTCGGGAACCAGGAAAGCTGGGATGCTGAAATTTTCAGGGAATGTTCCATGCACAAGTACTACATAAACCTATCAAATTCAATCCTCAGTCATACGTGGTTCTCATGTACGGCCCCGTGAAACTTTTTTGGCGGGTAAATGACTAACTCGGGACAAAAAAAGCTGGGAAGCTAAAATTTTAAAGGGATATTCCCAGCCTGCATACAACTTAAAAATTCCAATCCCAGCCCCCAAGCTGGAGGCCGAAATTTTAAAGGGATGTTCTCAGCCTGCACACAACTTAAAAATTCCAAACCCAGCCCCCAGGTATGCTGCTAGGTCACGTGCGGCCCTGTGAAACTTTTGGCGGGAAAATTGCTAACGTGAGAACCAGAAATGTTGGGAGGCTCAGATTTTAGGAGAATATTCCCCGTCCAAATAAAACTTAAATCCTCAAATTCAGTCTTCATTAACGCGTGATTCTCGTGTACGGCCAATTAAATTTCTGGCGGGAAAATTAGTCATTGAATAGTTGAGTTATTTTCAAAAAACACCGCTAAACGGAAACAGTTGATTTCTTTTTATGCAAAATTTACAATGATTTTCGGCACCAAGCACACAAGGTAGGTGTGAAGAAACAACCGTTCATGCAATTAACTTCAAGTTTTGTCCAAAAACGCATGATTGCACCGACTCGCCTGGTGCGTTCCAGCCTGGGTTCCTTTTTCTTCTCCAAATGAAAACAAACGCCTAAGTACATTTCAGTGCAGTTAAGCTCCACTGCAAAATGCAGGGTTTGATCGTTTGTCTTACCGTTCATGCATAATTTATGAAAGATTAACCACAGCAGCCGATCTGTGCGACTATTTATACAGTGGCAGTCTGTGGCACCAAAGTCAGCCGAATGTCACTTGCAGCTGCCTGCAAGCTTTTCCTCTGCTTCATTCCCCTACGTTTAGCTGCACCCAGCAACTACACATATCTCAACACCGATGCGTCACAACATCCAGTCGCCGAAATCATTCCAGCTGGGTACTCACGCACGGGCTCACCAAAGTTCTCGGGTAAGCTGCTAACTCGAGAACCTGAAAAGCTAGAAGGCTGTAGTTTTAAGAGGATGTCTTCCATCCACGTAATTCAACGAGTTCAAACCCAGACATCGGGTGCGCGTGGTACCCACGTACGGGCCCGTGGAAGTTTTTCTCAGTAAGCTGCTAATTCAGGAGCCAGGTAAGCTAGAAAGGGGTGTTCCCTGACAGTTCTGGCAACCAGCCTTAATTTGTTTAACTAGAAGCATTTGCCAAAAAAACCGGTGCCGATAACGACAA